CCCCGCGCGCGCCCCTCCAACGCCACGCGCTCGCTGACGTCACGCGGCCGCCCACGCCGCCTCCTATGGGAGGAGTGCGGCGCGGAAGGGGGCGAGACTTCGGAAGAGCCTCCCGATGATTGGTTAGACCTCCGGAGGAGGTCGAATAAAGGGACCAATCATGAGGGAAGCAGCGTGGAATTTAACTTTGACGGACGTGACGCGCGCCCAATAGCTCGAAAAGATATCGCGCTGTGTCAGTGGAGGGACCCAATGGGGTTAGAGCTGCGCAGTTTGTGGGCGGGCCCGGGTCTATGCCTGAACCAAGCAGTGGGGCGGGATACCGCCGCGATGGGCTGCGCGACTGACCAATAGCAGCCCGCGAGGCTCGACGGCCACTTGACAGGCAGGCGCGCGGGCCAATRGGAGGCGGGAGGAAAGGGGGGCTGATTCTGGAAGCCATTACGCCAGTGTCGCAGGGCGGAGGCCGTTGAGCGGGGCTTGCTGCGTGGCCGCGGTACGCAATTTGCGTATCGTTGGCGGTGGAAAGGGGGGGAGCCGGCGGGGACCGGCGCCTCAGGGCCCTGGGGGGCCTCGGGCCCCCCCCGGCGTCCCCGGCCCGGGGGGTCCGCAGGCCTGGGGGGCCCCGCGGCCCCGCGGCCCTGCCCGGCCTCCCCCGGGGCCCCCGGGGCCCAGCGCGGCCCCCCAGGTGCCCCCCAGCGCGGCCCCGCGGGCTGTCCCCCCGCGGGCGGCCATGGCGGCGTCGCCGGCGCCCCCGGCCAAGAAGCGCAAGATGAACTTCTCGGAGCGGGAGGTGGAGATCATCGTGGAGGAGCTGGAGCGGGGCAAGCACCTCCTCGTGAACCACTTCAACGCCGGCGTGCCCCTGGCCGCCAAGGCGGCCGCCTGGCACGACATCCTGCGGCGCGTCAACGCCGTGGCCACGTGCCACCGCGAGCTGCCCGAGGTCAAGAAGAAGTGGTCGGACCTCAAGACCGAGGTGCGGCGCAAGGTGGCCCAGGTGCGCGCCGCCATGGAGGGCGGCGCCGAGGGCCCCGCCGGCAACGGGCCCGAGGGCGAGGAGGCGGCGGGCGCCGCGGCGGCGCCCGTCATCCTCACGCCCATGCAGCAGCGCATCTGCAACCTGCTCGGGGAGGCCACCATCATCAGCCTGCCGAGCGGCGACTGCGGCGCCGCGGACGGCACCGAGATCCCCATCGCCGCCTCGGCCGCCACGGTCACGCTGACGCAGAGTGAGTGCTGCCCCCACGGACACGCTCCTGGCTCGCCTGGAAGGCCGTGGGCCTTGCGCTGGGGAGCCCCCGATGGAAGGAAACCTCTCTAGTTGTGTAATGAAAGGGCCGTTCCCAAAGTGGCCATGGGGACGTTCCCAAGATGTCCTATGGGATATTCCCAAGATGTCCTAGGGGTCATTCCCAAAATGCTCCAGGGGCGCAGCTGCCAGATACGCACATAGTGCAAGTGAGCTCTCATAGCCGCGGTTGGCCACAAGGAYGACGAGGATCCTGTGAACCCTGAGGCTTGCACCTCGTCTGTGGGGACAGGAGCAGAGGGGGAAGCTTCTCCGAGACCAGCTTCCTCCTCTGCCCCAAGCAGGAGTCAACTTCCCAGTGGATGCCATGGGTTTTCCCTTCCTCGGGAGACAGTTGGCTAATGCCACTTGGGAAGATCCTTGTGAATCCGAGGCTGAGGAGTGATTTTGTCCCGATGGTCTTTGCTTGGCCTGTTCTTTGGACTCCGGTCTGCACAGCCCACAAGGGAGCTGGGATGAGGGTGGGTGGAGTTGGCCTCAACCGCTCGTTTTGTGCATTCCCTGTCAGTCTATGTTATCTCCCTGAACAGGCAATAAAATCCTGCTGTATTCATTGAATAGCCCTGTAGATAAAAAATACCCCGGGTGCAGCTCCTTCTTACACCCTTCCTCTCCTTTGTTCGCAGTTCCTGCGGAGACGACCTACCACAGCCTGGAGGACGGCGTCGTGGAGTACTGCACGACGGAAGCCCCCGCCACGGTCACGGCCGAAGCGCCCCTGGAGATGATGGCGCATCAGCACGAAGTGGCTGCCAAGCCCCAGGAGCTCAAGAGCCGCATCGCCCTGAACTCCGCCAAGCTCCTGCAGGAGCAGCGAGTGACCAACCTGCACGTGAAGGAGATTGCGCAGCACCTGGAGCAGCAGAACGACCTGCTTCAGATGATTCGGCGCTCGCAGGAGGTGCAGGCGTGCGCGCAGGAGCGGCAGGCGCAGGCCATGGAGGGCACGCAGGCCGCGCTCAGCGCCCTCATCCAGGTGCTGCGCCCCATGATTAAAGACTTCAGGCGCTTCCTGCAGAGCAACACGCCGAGCCCCTCCGTGCCCGCCGAGCCCGGCCACGCCGGGCAGCAGGATGGCATTATCCAGTGAGAGAAGCGCTGGGGGGCTCCTTTCCTGGGAAAACTGCCCGTGCTGCTGTTGGATACGTGGAGTCCGCGGCTGGGCGCTCTTATCCGTGTAAATGGTTCCCCTCGGAGTTTGCTGCGGAGCGTGACCGGCTTTCTCTGCTAACCCTGTGCTCAGCTGCCTTTCCAGAGTCATCGTGCAGAGTGGTAGCAGGGGGTGTAACAAACCAGGCACCTAATGTTGATTGGTTTAGTTCCTTAAAACAACAGGTTTATAAAGTAAGATGATTATTTTTTTATTTGTTTGAAAAAAAAAATATCTCTTAAATATGACACCTCTCTCTCTCTCTCTCTCTCAAGATCTGTAGCCTTTAACTGACTTCCAATGTGGAGGGTCCTGTTGCATCCCAGTACTGGAGGCGCCAGGGCAGTTAACACAAACTGTAGCACGGAGTATGAAGCTTCTCTGTCCTTTSCTGAAAGCATTTGCTGGTAATGTGGGACCTGAGGGGCTACGACCTTCTCTCTGTGCTAAGAGTTTGTGGATGCTGCCCTTGGAGCATGAAATCCAGCCGGTGCAGAAGACCAGCGCCTAGTTTATACACAGTTTAAATCCCACCCACATTCCCTGAGGGTATAAATGGGATTTAAATAGTGCACAGGCCTCGTGTTTGGGCGCAGGGAAAACATTTCACTTTTGAACTTAGAKGTGCTGAAAAAAAATTATCTTTGGATCCTAGATACTGTGCTGGGATGCGCATTGGAAGCGATGTTTTAGCTGTCTCGGAGGAGCGAACGCACAAGGAACGTCTGAATTTCATTCAGACGGGGTTACAGGTGAGGCTCCATCTCCACATCCTTCCAGGCCTGCACAGTTGGGCATCTCTAATACCTTAATCCCTCAACGTGAACCTGCGCCACGGAGCTTCAGCCTGGCAGCAATTCCCAGCAGGCTCTGTTTAGGAGTTTCTGGGGATTTGGGAGCATTGCTTTTTGCGGGAGGGGAGGGTGGGTTTTTGTTTTGTACTTTTTAGGAGCCGGACTTTAGCAGTTCTTAGTTTGCTAGCTGACTCTGCCTTGTGTTCCGAGAAATGCATCTGGGTTTGGCCTCGTCTGTTCTGCTGGAAAACAACAGTGTTCCGAGCCACGTCTCTCTTTGGGGTGTTCAACTATTGGGCTTGCTCCTGAGTGAGAAAGCTTAATTTCATAAGGTGRTAAATGTGATTGTTACAGACTTGCAGTGACTTTTTAAACTTCAAAGCAAGCCAACTTTAATGATGAGCTCAACTTGTATGTGCATAGAAATGGACCTCAAAAAAGGAAAAAAAGGAAGAGAAAAATGTAACTTTTCTGCCCATGCGTTGCAGAGTGTTCCCAGTTACGGCCAGGTGTTGCTTTTGAAATGGAACATTTTTAGAGCTGATATCTGCTTGCTGCCCAATCCTGAGGAGACGGTGAGCAAAGACTGATGAGGGACTGAATTCGCACAATCAATTTATCAACTTTAGACTTTTTTATGGAGGAATATGCTGAGAGACGCCCTGGTTAGAGCAGCAGGCGACCTGGCTACCGCTGCCTGTCTCTGGCCTGTTCCCATCTCTTCTGCTTGGCGAATCTTGGCTCCTGATGGAGCTGGCGACGCGGTTGCCCCATGGAAGATTCCTGACCCTCTTCCCTGGCCCCTCCGGGCTGAGTCAGGGCAGCAGCAGAGCCTGCCCTCGAACCGCCTGGCTCTGAGCAAGACTGCGCGGAATCAAATCAGTTGCTCAATTGAAATTTATTTTTCAAGCTGAAAACTATGTCATATGTTTYGTTTTACCTCATTTGTGCAATGAACTCTCCTTTACAAATGCGAATTTTAATWAAAAAATACATTTTTGGTAAACAAGCTGTTTCGCTTCCTCAGCTCGCTCCAGGGCAAAAATTGCTTTGTGAAAACAAGTTTGCAACAGAGAGYATCCAGTCAGCAAAGAAAGCTGCACAGGGCCACGTGCCAGGGTAATTTTTTCTCCTGTTCATGAGCTTTTTGGCCTTTTATTCACAAAATTATGGGGTTTTTTTCCACAAATAATAGCTTATGCAGCCATACCTTGAGGCACCTGTGTATGATACATTACCAAAGTATACTGTTATTCAACTGCTCTGGATGTGCCTAAAATGACAGATGAAGTACCAGCCTTTGGATTTAAATTGCAGCGTTGGGTTTTTTTCAGTGACTAAACACTTAGACTTTTTACTGTTCCACACAGGGAAATGCTTAGCCCTTTGAACCAGCCATTTTCTTGTCTTTTCTGGATAAACGCAGAGCTCCGTCAGGCCACTAGCATCCASGTAGAGATTCCGTGTACGCATTTTTGTCTCATTAAGAGGATGTAGCAACATTTTAAACACAGGGTGAGCACCATGATTAGGGGCTTGCTTGTTGCTCATGTGCACGTCACCAAACTTGGGGAGGAAGGAAGAAAATGAGTCCGCAAAAAAGTGCAAACCAGGTGCTGGGGAAGCAAAAGGGCCGGTGTGGCCGAGGATACGGGTGCCTCCAAAGCTGGACTTGCATCACCCTGAGCCCTCGCAGCGCCTCAGGCTTCCCCAGGAGCAGAAATGGGCTTTGGGAGCCCGGCTGGAATGCGTGCAGCTCGGCCATGGCTTTCCAGGAGGTGGCACTGCGTGTCCGGAGGCCGAGCGGCACCCGGGAGCCTCCTCCGCGGCCTCCCGCGCTGGGAAGCCCTGCCAGAGCCGCCCGCTCTCACCCAGGCCTTCGGGAGCCTCTTCCTCCCGCTGTTGCAGCTCTTCAGCACTGAGAATAGAAAATCATACAAAAATCATGCTAATGTGTCGGAAGGTGCACGTGCAGCCCACTTCAATATCATGGTTCTGGGAGCTGATCCCTGCAAAAGGACCGAATTTCAGTCCGTGCACGTTCATCTCATCTACTTCTCTCTCCTCCAACATGTTTTTAAGTTTGCAGAGCCTGTTTTGGCAACGCCTTCTGAAGTCTTCCTCTTGATATTAGAGGTTACTGCCAGCAAAAGYGTGGTCTGATGTGTTTAAATATGAAAATCTGGGCATTTAAATTTAAGATGCCCTGTCCCTCTTGAAGGCACCTGGCAGGAAGCTACACATGAGCAATCGGCTCCGTCCCGAGCGCAGCCCATGGGGACAGTGACAGCCAGGCCACCTGCAAGGCGGGCTCCTCAGCCCTCCGGTCCCGGTGCGTGGGGAGGGTATCCCAGGCTCTTCATCCCTGGTGCCCAGGGAGGACTGTTTCTGTCCCCAAACTAGGGGTGACRGCAGCATTTTGGGGGGCCTGCAGCTAGAAACATGGAGAACACGGTGCCAACGCGTTGTGTCTCAGCCCTGAGGAGCTGAGGGTGACACATGGGCTGCGGACACAGGGCAACGTTCCATAAACACGACCGGCCTCAAGGCAAAGCGGGCTCAGGCCTCGAGATTTTGGAAGCGACAAGTAGCTCCCAAGCTGCCGCTGGGGCCTCCCAGAAGCAAAGGGAAAGCCCTGCTGCACTTTCCCAAGAAACACCAGGAAGACCTGGAAACTAATAAACACAAGAGCCAGGCAGCAGGAATTTCAGGTCGGGCTGCATGCTTGGAGAAAGGAATCCACTGACTCCAGATTCCTATGCTCCCTTTTCCCTGCAGATAACAGGATTCCCAGTCCCCCAAGCAAGAAACCCACCATGCAGGGGGTTTCTTTGCATGTCCCACAGGAAACCSAGCCTGGCATGGGAAGTGAAACAGTCCCTGGCCTTAACAGCACAAGTTTGGTTAAATATGGAACTAAGAATAATAAAAAAGATCAAAGTGGAGCTTGCAGCCTATTATTAAATTAAGCTGAGAAGACACAAGCTTAGAGCAACCCCCTATCACAGGATTATCCTGTCTAGTGGGGAGGCAGCAAGAGGCAGCGCCGCGCGGCCGGGCTGGCATCGYGCGCCGCATCCCGGGGCTGCGGCCGCGCCGCGCCGGACGCGCTCCTGCATCCCGGGAAGCTCCAGGGATGCAGCCTGCGGCGGATGCTGAGCACAGCTCCCAGCACAGGTTCACAGGGTGGATGTGCTGTAGGTGTTTGGCCACCTGCAGGGCAAATACTGGATTTATAAAGTCTCTGTGATCATTTTTTGGCTTTCTCTGTTTTTTGTGTTTTGTTGTTGTTGTTGTTTTCTGGATGGCGAGCCTGRGAGCTCATTAAGGCCATTGTCACAGGGGCTGTTACATATGTAACAGAGGAGAGCCATTAATGTGTTTACACGGTTCCAGCAACCGTGCATCATTTGSTTTTCAAATTTTCATCATTTGGCTGCTAGGACAAACGTATTATTCATCTGATGATATTTTCCAAAGGCAGAAACTGATGTCRTTCATAGGGCTTGATGATTTGCTCGTGTACCTGGGATCCCTCTGGGCTTGCAGATGGAATTAGACAGCTCCCGAAAAGGCTTTGCAGAACCTGTCTCAATCCACTGCACCGAGTTTTGTCCCTTTTGAACTGATCTTGCCTCATATCTTCCTTGTTTATCTCAGTGCTCTGAGTCGGGGGTAGAGCAGGAGCGTCGGAGGTGAGGAAAGCCATCGCTGTCCCTGCTCGTCCCCTTGCTGTCCCTGATCACCCCTGCGAGCCAAGGGAGCAGAGATGCAGCCCTCGCTGGGGACACACAGGGACACCCAGCCTGAAGCAGAGCCCACGCTGATAAACGAGCCAGGGCTGATAAGGTGCCCCGTGCAGCAAACGTGGAGGCAGCAGCACCGGGGAGAGGCAGCAGCAAAGGCTGGGCGAGGACACGACGCGGGGTCACCGTCACAGGGACATCGGCGCTCGGGTCCCCGTGCGGCTCCTCCACGCGGCTCAGCCCCCTCACCGACTCCAGCACCTCTCCAGCAGGGAACAGCGGAGCCGTTCGGCAAAGCCCTGGCCCTTTAAAAACATGAATTCGTTCAGAAACAATTACGCAATATCAACAAAGGGGAAAAAAAAAATCAACAGGGCGAATTTCTAACTAATAAAGATTTAATCTCAAAGTCATGAGACTGCCTTTGTTAGGAAAATATACATACCCCTGAGAATCCAACTGCAGTTGCTATACTGCAAACTGTTCAGCAGCTCCCTGGGCATTTTTCCAGATCCATTTACTTTTAACATCAGTCACATTATTCAATTAATTATAAAAACACTGAGCTCTTCAAGAGATGTTTTCAATTTWAAAAAAAAATGCACAGCAAATATGCGTGAGAACAGTGGGGACTGGAATCTCCGCAAACTTCGGCATTGGGGCCTGTTGCTATAAACAAGGCGGTAAGTCCTCTGAGGAGGTTATTTATCGGCGTGAATCATAGCAGATAACACCAGGCCTCCTCCCACACGGCAAACAAGGATCATGCGCCCTCGGCTAGCGATGATGGAAGCCAAACACGGCCTGACGTGGCTGCCAGGGTGCAGAACGACCAGCGTGAGGGAGCGGGCTGGACTTTTCCGATGTCWCCTGTATGCTGCCTCCCCAGTTGGTCAGGTCAAATATTAGGCATTTTGCAGGCTGAGTTCTTCCCCACGAAACCAAACAGAAAGCAAAGAGCCGATTTACCAAGGCCTGGTGACCTTGCGAGCACTCAGTATCAACCCCCGGTAGGGCTTTGACCCCTGCTTCCCGAGCAGCCTCTCCAAACCGCGCAGGACGGGACTGGACCGTCCCACGGGGCCGGCAAGGGACGTGTTCGGCCCTAACCCGCGCACCTGACTGACCCGGGGGCCAAGAAGCACCAGAGAACTAAGTGCTTGGTCTAACCCAGCCCTCCGCTCTCAGCCAAGTCGACCCCGGTGTGGTTTCCCTATGGGGATTTGCCTGAAAGGCCCCGCGTCGCCAAGCAGTTACTCGGGAGCACGGATACCCCCGCGGCATGGAGGTGAGGATGAGATGTGGGATGCAGGTGCCRAGGCCCGGCCTGGAGCTGGCTGCTCCTGGGCTTCCCCTCAGGCTCCGCCAGCCGCTGCTCTCCCGGGGAAAGCGCCTCCCCGCGAGCCCCGGCTGCTCCCTGTGCCCCCGCGACGCTCCAGGCCGCATCCCCGACTTCCGAAACGAGGAAAACGGCGTCACCAACTGGAAAACGCCTTGTGAGAGAGCGGCATTTTGTCCGTCTCGGCCCAAGCCCTGCCCGGGCAGGGCCTGCCGGCAGACGGGGGCCGCATGGCGGGGGCGATGCGCCCTTCACCCTCAGCGCGGCCGCCGGG